CTGTAATGTTCGTTGTATCTCGAAGAGATCATCTGAAAATAACGTACCTGACTGCTGCGACCCCACTGTTGAAGAAGGAAGCAGCATAGAGGACGGTGAGGGTGTTTCAGGCGTGCTTTTATCTATTTCCAGGGTAGTGCCCACTACAACAGCTGTCAAATGGCTTTGTTGCAAGCTGCTTGTAGAAATAGTTGATGATGACAACAGCAAGGAAGATACTGAGGTCACTGCGGATGTACCTTGCTCGAAAGCCCAACTCGAATTCATTGCCACAGATGAAGATTCACTTCTGGATGAACGGCTTAAACGAGCAACTGATTTTGACACAACAGGCAATGATGACACCAGCTTAGACGACCCTAACGGCAATGCGGGTGTACTTAGTTCTTTCGCCATACCAGAGCTCAGTGCCACAAATGACGAACTACTTAAGGCCAAGGTACTTGAATGAAAAACCTTGGAGGATGACATCGAAACAGAAGACAGTGAAGGTACTGTGGCTGTATTTTGGCCTGCCACAATAGAACTCATTGAAATTAATAGGACACTACTCGCCTTACTGCTTGAATGGTCTAAGAAACACACTGCAGGAGATGTCATCAACACCCAGGTACATGTAGCTGTTATTAAAGGCAATAGACATAAGTTGTGATACTGCTTGTACATGTCGTGGCTCAATTTTAATAATAATAATAATAATAGTAAAATAATAATAATAATACTAGTAAAATGATAATAATAATAATAATAATAATAATAATAATAATGTCTTCATTCATTCGATAAATACATGTTTAACGTCACATAAATTTTAAAAAAGCATTTATTAAGGCGCTTACAGCAAGAATTTCTCATAGTGCTAACTCATATTTGAAACTAAGCCTATTTAAGAAACTACTTTTAAACCGTTATAAAAGTGGCTTAAATTTCAAATTTTATTTCCCTTGGTTTTAGGGTATGGTAATTCATGAAATCATAATGAGTTTGAAACAATGGAAAATAGAATTTAAATCAAGAATAAAATTGAGCCACAACATAATTATATAAAAAACCCAGAGTGTAAATGAATACAAGTGATAAAAGCAGTTCATTAAGTAACTTTTATATCTACTTGTAAAATATCGCCCTATGTAAGATAATCCAGATTCTAGAATCCTGGAATTTTTTGCTTGTAAAAAAGAGAATCCCGAAGCCCACTAATATTGGAATTTGGAATCAAAGTTCCACTGAAAACGAATGCGGAATCTGCAGCGTGGAATCCAGAATCCCAGACATTTTTGAATTGCCTTTTTACAAGAGGCAATAAATCAGCCAAAGCATATATGGTTTTGCGTTTTGAAGACTTTCTTGCACGACCAGAATAGTAAAGCAATTACGGACGAAAGCAAATACTGAACAATGCTGGAAATGCAAGATTTGATAGGTTGTTGAAAGGTGTTGAACTTAATGGCGGGGATTCAAGGCTCGCCGAGTTATCTACCGAATGATTATAATCATAATCATCATGCAAAAACCGGAAGCAATAATTTTCGTTGTAGGTGTTGTATTGCTCACCCTTACTTTTTAGCAAAACGCAAAAAGCCGAAAAAAGACAAACAAACAAAAAGAGTGGTTGTCAGAGAAAACAGGGCAAAATGTTAAAAATGTCAACGGAAGGGGGTGAACAGAATAAGTTCATACTAACATAATAGATAGGTCTGGTGGAGTAGTGGACAGATATACCAAACATAGGTTCTTCACTGCTCTTGTATTAGAGATACGAGCATCACTTTATTCGACCCCCTCGGACGCCATTTTTATAAGCAAATTTTCACCATTTTCTGAAACTCACAGAACACTCAAAATTTAACGAGCGAAGTTTATTTTTTGTATGCGATACAACACATCACAGAATTAGTTTCTAAAACCATAAGATTTGTTAAGTAGCCACGGACAAGACTAAAATTTTCTTATTTTATCTGACCTAAACTCAGTGTCTGCAAACGAGCAAAAAATCGGGCATTTTTGAATTGATCTACAGCGCACAACTAAAACGACAGAACAACTCTGACAGCCAAATTGCAGTCTACTATCATCCATGTAACCAAAACACCAATAATCATTTTGGACTATTGAAACAGGAAGAAATTAGAAAACTCACATTTGTTATAGTTTCCAAGCTTTTTCTTGCGTACAGGCCGATCCCTTGGTGTTTGTTTTAAGTCCTCTTCGTGAATTTTCTTTCATATTTCGCTGTAAAGTATGTTCAGCAGCTGGAGAACATATCAAAAAGCTCGAAATACTGCTTAGGTTACATCTTGAAAGGGCAAAAAGTGCTGAACGATAGGATGAAACTAGAAAATAACAGAGTAACGCCATCTTGAAAATTCAGCACTCAGGAGGAACTGGCACTAGTTGCTGCCTTGTCCACAAGTGGTGAATTACCAAACAGATAAAAACAAACAAACCGGCTTATCAGCGACCTATTACAGTCCTTTTTCTTCTTCAATTACTGCTTTTAGTTAAATTTAGCTTGTTTTGTGTTGTCGTTTTTTTTTTTTTTTTTGCGGAGTGATGGGGTGTGGTGAACAGGTGACCAATTGGCATTACTTTATTCAGTCTTCATTTGCTCTTCATTCACTTAATTTTGAGTTTATCCCATATAAGTCCTAGCGTTTCTCTGGACTCTTTATTGTATCATCTATTTTTGTGTCAGTCTTCAATCACCGTCCATGTCCGAAGGTACACTCATCTAGTCCGGAAGGCTTCGCCCGAAGGGTACCTCTTTCAAGCATCAGGTGTATCAAAGGGTAGCTAGGAAATCACAAGTTGAAGTATGTGAGAGGAGGAGAATATCTCCCATTAAGTATTTTAAAGGGCCTATTATTAAAATGCTTCGAAGAAATAGGCCTTATGGCAATATCATTTACATGTTAAGGTTACTCGAAAATGACCGGAAGACCTCCTTTCCTACCGATTTATTTTCACGAAGGAGATATATGAAAAGGGTGCAACTTTTTAATGGAAGATACACGAAAGGGGTACCTTTTGTCAAAAATAGTATATTTAAGGGTAAGGGACTGGACCTCGGGGCGAAGCCTCTCCGAACAAAGCTTTATTGAGTGCCCTCCCACCTCCTCTCCACCTCCCTCTTCTCCCTAGAACTTTCTACGAGTTGCTGGCCAGGTGTTTGGAAACTTGTAGTATTTCGAGCAACTTTTTTCGTTTCAAGTAACTTTCTGCATAATTTCTGAGCAATTTCTCTTACTAGTTTTCTTCCAAGCAGATTTTAGTGCATAAAAGCTTTTAGTGCATAAATTGGCCTTGCTTCCATGTTGCACAGTGTTTTAGTAGACAATTTATGAATTTGCTATGAAAAAGGAGCCAGATCCTCACCCCTTGGAGGCAGATGATGGGCGCAAGATGCAGCCGGGCTGCTAGGTCACATGTGGTTTTGAACAAAATTCAAAATGGCGGACGTTGATTCAAACTTGACTCCACCAGACCTAACTATGATGTTAGTATGAACTTATTCTGTTGACCCCCTTCCGTTGACATTTTTAACATTCTGCCCGGTTTTCTCTGACAACCACTCTTAACTTGCTCGAAATTTTTCAAAGGCTTTCGCCGATTGCCCACTCTAAACGTTACAAACAGACCAATCTTACACATTGGAAGAGTTAAAGCCCTCTAACTCTTTAAATATTTCTATAAGGATTATTAAAACGACGCATTTCAGTGCTACTCAAGTAATAACAGTCCTATCTGCAAAATAACATCTTTTCTCCATACACAAAAACTGTTTTCTGTGAAAGTGACATCACTCAAACATGCATACAAACTGTCTGTGTGAATTACAATACACAAAAACTTGCGACAGATGTGCTTAATAACAAACTTTTTAACTCTCTATCTTTATAGGCAAATATTTGCTGACGTCATTAGAACATTTTTGCTAATTAGCATACCGGTAAACCCACAGAGGACGTCGTCGTATGTACAAATTAGATGCATAAGTTAAAAGAGCTGGTTATTTTGAGAAGTTTGCTCAATAATCGAGCACTTTGCAATCAATAACACGGGAAATAGCAGGAATCAAAAACTGCGAAATGCTCAACTCTCGACTTGTTGGAAGAGACTTTCTCCGAAATGTTTCGGTATATCGGGCTCAAATGTTCAGAGATAACTGAAATTGTTATGTCCTTTCAATATTCAGTGATTTTATTTTAATAGCTTGATCAGGGAATGAAACGGGTTTGTTAATGACGCAAAAAAATTTATACAAAGATTCGCCTATAGCCTCTATTAGCTTTTCTAAAGAATGTTTATTACCACGGTACGAGCTCATGATTATACTTGTCTTTAACAAACACGACAAAGTAAAAAAATCAGTGTCGCACTTGCGTTACATCAATTCTATTTGGTGATGACTTACTTAAAAATAGCGGGAACAAACCACGAGCCCATTGCATATTTTCCATACCTGAGTAGAGAATAATTTAATAAAATAGACAAATTAGAAACTTACCTATGTTCATGACATATATACTTAAACGGTGAGTCTAAAAGGCAGAATGAGTTTGCGGAATGGCATGTGGCATAGCTTGCGGAATGACAAAATTATGCGAAATGTAATATATGCAGAATGACTAAAAGAAAGAAATTAAACTGAAAAGTGCGCCCTTTTTTGGCACCAATGAATTTGCAAAAGCAGCTACTCTTTTAATGTTGCGTGCTCGACTACGATGACAATAAAACAACCACGAAGCTAGGTTTCACTCTCGATTGGCCTTTTTCACTCAGCTACAAAGATTCTACTACTTGCATTAATCAGTCGGGCTGCATGGCATTACCAATACTATATTACATCACAAACTTGGAAAATGAAGAAAAGATGTTTTGGAAGGTCACGCTCCCTTCTCGTATAATTTTTTTCTGCAAAAGATGTTCGCACGATTAACTTTACAGGCTTTGTTTTACCTTTATATGTAGAGTAGAACCCCGATATATCGAACTCGGATAACTCGAACTCCCCGCTAACTTGAACTAAGTCCAATTTCCCTTAGAATTCATCCCACTTTTCATTCATTTTACCCGGTTAACTCGAACTCTGATACCCGAATTTCTCGCTGACTCTAAACTAAATCTCCTTTCCTTTCCTTGACTCAAAAATTCGCTATTATTTACCCCGATAACTCGAATTTTGGTTCTTCTAACTCCACTCAGATGCCATCCCATTAGTTCTTCTTGTTATAGCGAAGCTCCACGCACGCGCGGAGACCCATAGCTAAGTAAATCTACCCATTTCAGAAAATTTAGTGATCACGTGACCGTACACTGACCGACCGCCCGGGCGACCGTCCGCCCGCACCACAGGATACCAATGTAAAATAACTCAATCAACTGTTATGGCAACCCACATGCAAATCGAGGTTATTTTGGTGGGAAATCGCATACCCACACGAGTTTTGTAAAGCAGAGACAACTAAAGAGTCAATACAGACGAAAACGGAAAGCGGAAATTGTTTCTGTATCCATGTTGTCTAAAGTATTAAGCTTGGACTAATTGTCATGTCCACAAATTTGGAAAATAGAGCAGGAAAAAGACAGAGAAAAAGAGACAGTAGGCGTGCCTCTCGCGTCTCGCGCCTTCGGTCACGCGCGTAGTCATTTGCGTGTCTTGGGAGACTTGCTCGACTTGCCAAGAAATAAGAGAGACTGCTCGTAGCTTAGACAAAAACAGACCTAGACGCCATTCACACGCGCTAAAAAATAGGCACGGCACGCCAAATTTTTGGCACCGTGCTGACGATTTTAAGGCAGGGCACTCCCAATTTTTGACGTATAAACGTATTGGTCCCAAATGAAATGTGGCACCAGTGCTCAAAATTTTAGGGGTGCCGAGACTACCTCCGGGAAGTAGTCTCGGCACGGGTAAACGAGGCGTGGCTGATTTTTTAGCACGTGTAAATGGGGTTCTAGAATCCAACTCTTTTGACCCCACAATCGGTTGTCTAAAACAAAATTACTTCAACTAAACACTCCCAAAGCGTTTTTATGCTTGTACACAATATTCTTATGACACAAGCGCCACGACATACCTGAAATCTGTCAGTCAACAATTTCAGGAAATCACACAATTAACCACATTCGCGAATTACTCTCTCTCAATAACTCGTGCTTTCTCCACATACATGTAAACTTTGCTGACACAGTCGATTTATTCAAGATCCCGGATGTAAACGAGCGGTTTCGAAAGGAACACATAGAGGCCGGCCTTCAAAACAATTTTTAATTGAGTCTCATGCCTGGTCAGAGATCAGCTTCAATTTTGCTCTCGCCGAATAGATTTCAGTCCCACAACCTACTTTTTGAGGCCAGAGACTCGTCATCGCCCACATTAAAACTCGCAATATGATGCCTTTCCACCTCAATCTCGAGATAAGTGTTTCAATCGTTTAACCAAAATGAGACGAAATACGGTAACGTATTGGACGACGGCAGACTTTGCCAGTCGTGAGATTTGCTCCTTCATAAGGCTGAATGATGCCTTCCGGAAAACTTTACTGCAGGCGGCCGAAAAGAAATCTAGGAAATTAACCGACCACGGAAAACAACTTCTACCGCGCGCGCTGATTCCAAATGTCATAGTGTTTTTAATTATAACAAGGAGAGAATTATGGGAAATGATAGGTGGGGGAGGGGTGGGGAGGGAGGGGGCAGGGAGATGAAAACAGCGTATTTAACACGTGTTTTTTGATCTACTGCAGCTTGTTATCAGGGGTTTTTGTACTGAAAATATCATAAAAAAGAATGGTAAAGTACCGAACAAGCCTCAAACGAGACTCTTGCTAAAAAAAATCCTAGAGGTACCTTTTTGCAAATCCAGACAGACATATATATATATATATATATATATATATATATAGTAGTTTCAGTTTCTCTGGGGCAGTTCGTTGGAATAGCCTTCCTATTGAACTGCGGCAGGCGAACTCTCTTAGGGTCTTCAGGATCTATCTAAATGGCACTTATGAAACGCAGGCTCTCGTCTATGTACATGTAGGTTTTTAACATAATTTCAATGTATGAAAGTAGTTTTTCTGACGAGCTGACTGTGTTTAAATCAAGTTATTCATTCATTAATATATGGCTCCAATATTTGTGCTGTAATTGTAATTGTTGATACGGAAGCTTCAGCTGATCAGTCTAAAACACAACACTGTGTATACGGAAAACTCAGGAAAATGAATATCCCTAAGTCATAGTATTTCAGTGTGTTCATTATATCCGTTTTCACTTTAGCGCATTAACGCTCATCACGGCTGCGCCAATAAATTGGGATAATCCGGATTGATTCTAGTATGAACTTGGTATGAATTTACCGGAAATGCTTGTCCTTACAGACTTAGGTTTAAGTAAGAGTAGGGTGTCGTGTCGCCATTTAACACAGCAAACGTGTTGAGACGGGTACAAATGGCATTGAGATGAGCTAAATGGATACTGAGGTTTAAATTGAAACTATCGTTGTAAGAATTAAAAGGTCACGTGACAAGCTACTCAATATCATAACCGCTCATTCAATCCCAAATCTTAAAAATGTGTTTAAAAGTGCCTCCATTTCATTCTGTAAACAGGTTGAGCTGAGTCGTATAAAGAGTTGGCGCGAATTGCAATGTCACGTGACTAGTTTCTCCTATGCTGGCTATGGTGTTCGAGTCTTCCTTTCACACTGTAAAATGCCTAAGATGGATATAAAGAGCAAGAATAGTGAGTATTATTTGAAGAATCACGAGACATATCATTCCATACCGGAAACGCTCACTTAAGCCTCAAGTCTTATAGTATTAAAATGCATATTTTTCCTGTCACCTCTCACACTGTTCAAGAGTCCAGGCTAAGAGTAAATCTCGTGAACTGCCCATGTGCGAGCTGAAGCGCAATGCGTGAAAAGTGAATTTTTCAAGATTAATCTGGCAAAAACAAGATGTCGCCCACAAGTGGTGGAGCCGGCCATGGCAGTAAAAGATAGAATTCGGGTCGCAAAAGGACGATTTCTGATCCCAGGCAGTATAAAAAAGATTGTTTTGAGAGACACGAGCTGTGTTGTTTTAGAATGAGGAAAGATATTCCAGTCGTGGCATGGTGTGAAATTGGAGGCTGGATATCGTTGTGAAGTATTTTTAAAGTTATTTTTAGGACGGAGTTTTTTTAAGTTTCGTTTTTGTTTCTATTAAGTGGGTCAAGGTTAGTCTTGATTTCTCCACAGAAGTATTTTCCTGTTATGATCTTTTGTTTTTACTTGTCCTTAGAATAAGTTTCTAATTAGCTCGCGAATTTACTTATTGCCATGTTAGGAATATTTTTCGCTTGCCATTATCAGATGTTAGTTTACCATAGGTGGTCGTGTTTATGACGTTAGATCTGACTTTGCTTCATTAGTCTCTCTGAAGTTCCTGTTTGGGCCTGGTAACTATAGCGTTTTAGGTTTTCATTGGTTTGTAGCTTCTTGCCGATCACAACCATGTAGGTTCAGTTATATCAAAGCATTACCCACGAGCGAGTTCCTCGATCACACCCCACAATATGAACAGTTGGCCACACATTTGTATATTTTCTTCAGTTTGTGTATTTTGAATATTTTCGGCTCAAAATCGGCAGAAAAATAAGGCTATTAAACCTGGGCCGGAAAAATATTTTTACAACCCTTATTTAGCCGCAATAAGGAGCTTTACGTTTCAAAAGAGGTTAAAGAAAATGTTCTTGCATCAGAGGGCAAATCCTGCCGACTAAAAACAAAAACCACAGTGGAAAATCAATATACGTGTCATAACCTCTCAGTGTGAAACAAGCGGCAAAAATCACGTTTTAAATTTGCTGGAACTAGCAGCATTTTGGCTGGAAGTAAAAGTCGTGCGTTCCCTACCGAACCCTTTTTCACTAGAAACAATTCAAACGAAAGCGGGAAGAGCGATTTTGACAGAGATTTCCCTAGCATGCGCAGCTCATAAATAGTAGCGAGATGGGCTGAACGCATAGGAAAGAGCTTATGTGAAAATTATTTTAGCAATCAGATGCAGTGTCACACTGCAAGCTATTTCATTCTCAGTCTTAGTATGTACAGTGTTCGTATTGAAATTAACGACGCATGCTATTTTGTCGCTATTTTATATGGCTTAAAATACCGTTCATAATTCTTGTGGGGTATTTTGCTGGCTACCAATATCGAATCCGAAAACAGACTTTAACCTCGGGATCGAAATCTAATTAAGATTTCCGATTCCATTTCCTACCTCCTTTCCAGAACCAGGAGTTTCATTTCCGATGTCTGAGCTCTCTAAGGCTATTGGCCCTTGGTTCTGCTGGCCCAAATCCACTGCCTCACCGCCACCGATTGAGCTTAACAAAATTTACACAGTTAAGGTGTTGAGATGAGCTTAACTTAAGGCAAAAATGGCAGTTAAATTTTATAACATCTGCCAATAAAATGTACCTAAAACGATCATTTAATCAACATTATATAAGCTTGTATCTGTGTGGATCTGCTAAACCGTGGCTAAAGAAATTTTAAGTGCATTTTAACAACTTGACGTCTAAGTCGAATGAAAAACAGCTAAAAGTCATTAGCTTATATCATAAATCGTTGCATCAAAACTTTGTCTCGACTTACACAGTCGATTTATTCAAGATACCGGATGTAAATCAACGGTTGAAAAGGGGACATGGAGCTTCCGGCCATGGAGTCTTTGGCCTGGTCAGAAGTCAGCATCAATTTCCATCTCGCCAAATAGATTTCTCTCTTAGAACTTAAAACAATTAAATCTCGCAATATCCAATCTTTCCGTCTCAAGCCCGAAATCAGTCTTTCACCCTTGTAGCTAAATGAGACGAGATGCGAGAAGATATTACAACTAGCAGATTTTGCCAATCGTAAGACGTGTTCCTTCATAAGGCTTAATGATGCCTTCCGGAAAACGTTTCCTCAAGGCAGCCAAAAAAATTCGAAGACAACCCACTTCGAGAGTCGAGGTCAATCTAATACGCGTGCTGATTTCAAACTGACACACAGTGAGAATTATGGAAGGTATGAAAAGTTTTTTTTTGCGGGGGGGGGGAGGGAGGGAGGGGGTGGTTAGGTTAATGGCCAGCGAGAATTTCATGACAATCTATCACTGCAGCGTATGTATTCGGGTAATATTCGGTAAAAAATAAATACATAAAAGATAACAAGGAAAAAATATATTACAAGACTCGGTAAAATTTTTATAGCCATGTTTTGTCCAATCCAGACAGATATCTAATGCGATAATTGCAACATATGGTGACCTCTCGGAAAGGGGTCACTTTGTTTTAATTTATTACCTTTCAAGACATTTTGGAAGCATTTCTAGACGAAACTGATCTGTCTCTAGCGACTCGTTTTATGTTAAGTTCTCTAGAACCGATAAAATGTATGCCTTTTTCACGAGAATCGGTGCCCAAATTTGGAACTCTATTCCGTATTCGATTAAAATACTTAAACGTTCGTCCTTTCGTAAAAAAATAAAGGAATTATTACTAAATTTTTTGCGGTCAGAAGATGATTATGTCGAAGTCTCCCGTCTTATTAAGTTATTTAATACTTTAGTTAACCTCTCTTCGTAATCGTTATGTACATGCCTTGCTTTTTTGTTTTTTGTTTTATGTTAGTTTAAACTCTATTTACTGTATTGTAGTGTCTCCACTGTTATTTAGTCCATCTATATATAATTCTTGTTTTGTAATATGTCTTCAGCTCCCCCCGCCTCGATTAGTTCATAAGCTATTTGCGGGTGGGAAAGTAATGTAATTAGTTATTTTCCAATTTTGAATAAAATTTGTTGTTGTTATTTGTTGTTTGAAACTTATAGATCTTGTATCGTTCGTCTAATTGTTTCTTTGCTCTAATGTTCCTATTTCTACCCAAAATCGAAATGGCAAATTGGCACACAACTAGTGCCACAGTAGTGGCAGGCGGCGAACTCGGGTAGTGAATGGGCAGACAACTTTATCTTGGTACCTTCCCAGTGCTATAGTTGGAAACTAGCACTGTTTACCACAAACAACCGAACAAGCCAGCTTAAGCATTCTATTACCAATTAATAACCGAGCCTAGCCTTAAAAATGTTAAGAGATTTGCTCGATTATTTATTGTTTAAGTCATGGACAGCTCACAATGAAGCCGTACATACAAAAAATCACTTCCCGTTGTTTGTGCTCAGTGGCTTCGCATTTGGTGTAACTTCAACATGACGCTGAAGTGCTTGGGCTTTACCGCGACAGCGTAAGTTATGCTAATTCACTTGCTTTCATGAGTTAAAGATGTCTGTCTACTCTTACCTCCAACTCGAAGAAAGGTTGGTAATTCTCGATAGTTTTAGCCTGAGAAGCTGCACCTTAGCTCTTCTGGCATAATATCAAGCAGACGCACAGACGTTTTGGGCCAAATCAACTCCCTTTCCATTGACCTTTTAATAGCAGTCGATTGTTTTTGGCTGCCAATGAAGGCAACACCCAATCAAGAAATGAGAAGGAGAATTTCATCTATGTCGAAAGACAAAATGGGGGAAAGACCTTCCAGAAAGCTTTGCGTGTCCTTTAGGCCAATTTTTGCGGGGAGGGGACCGGTCATTTCAGGTCATCTGGCGAATAGACTTGGAAGTCGAGTTGGAATGAACAAAAAATTAGTGCCTTGAGTTAATGGCCCTAAATCTTCACCGAACGATTATCTAAATATCTAAATAGCCTGCGCAAGAAGTGCAGAAACAATGCCCTCTCAAGGTACCGCCGAGGAAAGCTTCATTGAACTTGTTGCAATTCTCTCCCTGAATGTGAAACGTCTTTCCTCACACGATAGGAATATGCTATTCGCAGATCGCTCCCTCAAATAGAAACATATTCATTTAGATAATAAGAAGGGCTTTAAATGCAGTATTCGACAGTAATAAAACTGAAAGTTAATTTGCTGTGCGAATTTGAGGAATAGGTAAAATCAAATCACTGTTATATAATAGTATTTAAAACAGGAAAAGTTTTACAAGCGTTGAATGATAAAAACTTTTGGAATTTCCGGTTAGATAAAATTAGTCCCGTTTCTGATACCATGCTGTGTTTTGGGGGGAAGAGAGATTGGGGGAAGGTAGCCTGGGACCAGGCTCCGCTGTGGGAGAAAAATGGCAAAAAGCGGAGTAAAACAGCATAAAAAATCGGCGACCAAGCGAGTGGAGCGGTGGTCCTAGGCCAGGGAAAGCGAGTGCGTTGTAGAAATGCCCCAGTTAAAAATAATGCGAATCATTTGTTGTTTCAAAGGGCTAATTATATACAGCTATTTCGAGAAAGTTTGTCGAAAGAGTGCACGCGATAATCCCATAGGGTTTTGAGTTTACGACAGCTACAGTCGCCAGGAACAGTGTATTGATCATATCCCATATTACCTTTCGGGAATGTTGCGTGCTAACTGTATATAACAATTATTCACGGAAGTGGAGGCGACACCTAAGTAAATAATTGTTTTAGTAAACAGGACCTACACTGGTCATCCACCGTGTTTACGAAAATCGATCAGATTTTTTATAATAAACATATTTGCAATAATGATATAACTTTCCAAGTTGAAATCTAAAAAGTGGTGTGAAAAAATGCTTTCTTTTTCTAATTTCCTGGCATTAGATGCTCCCTCAATGAATCAAAAACCCCGGAAAGGGAACTTTAGGGAGTTAAAATCCAAAAAAAATCCCGAGGGAGCATGCCCCCGGGATCTCTTCGAAGCTTGCTCCCTCGGTCCCTCCTTTAGGAAATCAGTCAGTGTTAATCCTCGGATCCTGGCCTGGTATATACTAAAACAGTGAGATAAGTGAGCACAAAAATGATGACTCTTGCTGTCAACGATTACAATTTTGGCGCCCAAATGACTGAACGGCCGTCGCGTTTTGAAGACAGAAAACAGTTTCCTTTCAATCCACCTATATTTCGATCACATTCAGTGATCTTCTTCAGGGTGACTAACTAGCCGTTAACGTACAGAACTTTTAAATTGCTGAATTACGAAGGTAACGGGCGCGCATCACAACTGAAATGACTGTTATATATATATATATATATATATATATCTAGCCGAATTTTTGAAAACCTACCTGAAAATGCACCAGAATATTCGCACAGAAAGCTGGCCATAGCCAGCTTTCTGGTCACTGCGCTGAGAGAAAACATAGGGGGCTTGCTGTCCTGCTTGGTCTCATTGTCAAGTTCAGTCCCTGAGCTAACTCGCCATGGGTTGGAAAGGGCCTCCACGTCAATCCCTAGGGGGAGGCTGCTGCAAAAGCGTTGTACCTTCCGTTAGTCCTGGTCTGGGAGAGTCAGTGCACTGGTCACGTCTGCCTTTAGTTTGTCATGTGAAATTCTTGTGACGTTTGAGGCCCATTGGCCAATGAAAGCATTCCCCTCAAGCACGTGCTAGGCTGGGGGTGGAGGAAGTCAGGGGGGGTGACTTAACCTTGAATTCTCTGCTTAGAACTTGCTGAAGTCTCAAGCGTCCTCCGTCATTCAGGGCCTTTAAGCAGCTAGAGTGTATGGACAAGTCCAGAGTGTCTTTTTGATGGACTTGAATGTTTCTTTTGCTAATCAGGAACCAAGAAGAGAGTCACCTTAAGAGAACCATGGGTAAGAGCTGAGTTTCTTGGCGATATTTACTTTAGTTGAGTCAGTTTAAGGTGTGTGGGCTCCTGGTGTCCGATGTTACGGTTTTCATAAATCCGGCTAGATGATGTCGTTGAATGCTGTCGGGAGGGGAGAAATGGGGCCAAACTGGGTTGGGAGGAGGCAGATTTGGCCCGAGGTGACCTCCTTCTTGGAAAAGACAGCATTTGTCGTCAACAATTGATGTCGTTGAATGCTGTCGGGAGGGGAGAAATGGGGCCAAACTGGGTTGGGAGGAGGCAGATTTGGCCCGAGGTGACCTCCTTCTTGGAAAAGACAGCATTTGTCGTCAACATCTAGCCGAATTTTTGAAAACCTACCTGAAAATGCACCAGAATATTCGCACAGAAAGCTGGCCATAGCCAGCTTTCTGGTCACTGCGCTGAGAGAAAACATAGGGGGCTTGCTGTCCTGCTTGGTCTCATTGTCAAGTTCAGTCCCTGAGCTAACTCGCCATGGGTTGGAAAGGGGCCTCCACGTCAATCCCTAGGGGGGGAGGCTGCTGCAAAAGCGTTGTACCTTCCGTTAGTCCTGGTCTGGGAGAGTCAGTGCACTGGTCACGTCTGCCTTTAGTTTGTCATGTGAAATTCTTGTGACGTTTGAGGCCCATTGGCCAATGAAAGCATTCCCCTCAAGCACGTGCTAGGCTGGGGGGGGGGAGGAAGTCAGGGGGGTGACTTAACCTTGAATTCTCTGCTTAGAACTTGCTGAAGTCTCAAGCGTCCTCCGTCATTCAGGGCCTTTAAGCAGCTAGAGTGTATGGACAAGTCCAGAGTGTCTTTTGATGGACTTGAATGTTTCTTTTGGTAATCAGGAAAAGAAACATTCAAGTCCATCAAAAAGACACTCTGGACTTGTCCATAGATATCTAGCTGTTTCTTGGCCCTGAATGTTTCAGCAAGTTCTAAAGAAGACAATTCAGGTTTCAGACTTCCTCCACCCTACCAGCCTAGCACGTGCTTGGGGGCTCTTTCTGGTGGGCCTCAAACGTTACAAGTTTTCATAAACTCCGGCAGAGATGATGTCGTTGAATGCTGTCAGGACGGGGACAACGCTTTTGGGGCCAAACTGGGTTGGGAGGATCGCCAGCTTTCTGTGCGAATATTCTGGTGCATTTTCAGGTACGTTTTCAAAAATTCGGCTATATATATATATATATATATATATATATATTAAATTTAGTTTTAGTTATATATATATATATATATCTAGCCGAATTTTTGAAAACCTACCTGAAAATGCACCAGAATATTCGCACAGAAAGCTGGCCATAGCCAGCTTTCTGGTCACTGCGCTGAGAGAAAACATAGGGGGCTTGCTGTCCTGCTTGGTCTCATTGTCAAGTTCAGTCCCTGAGGTAACTCGCCATGGGTTGGAAAGGGGCCTCCACGTCAATCCCTAGGGGGGGAGGCTGCTGCAAAAGCGTTGTACCTTCCGTTAGTCCTGGTCTGGGAGAGTCAGTGCACTGGTCACGTCTGCCTTTAGTTTGTCATGTGAAATTCTTGTGACGTTTGAGGCCCATTGGCCAATGAAAGCATTCCCCTCAAGCACGTGCTAGGCTGGGGGTGGAGGAAGTCAGGGGGGTGACTTAACCTTGAATTCTCTGCTTAGAACTTGCTGAAGTCTCAAGCGTCCTCCGTCATTCAGGGCCTTTAAGCAGCTAGAGTGTATGGACAAGTCCAGAGTGTCTTTTTGATGGACTTGAATGTTTCTTTTGCTAATCAGGAACCAAGAAGAGAGTCACCTTAAGAGAACCATGGGTAAGAGCTGAGTTTCTTGGCGATATTTACTTTAGTTGAGTCAGTTTAAGGTGTGTGGGCTCCTGGTGTCCGATGTTACGGTTTTCATAAATCCGGCTAGATGATGTCGTTGAATGCTGTCGGGAGGGGAGAAATGGGGCCAAACTGGGTTGGGAGGAGGCAGATTTGGCCCGAGGTGACCTCCTTCTTGGAAAAGACAGCATTTGTCGTCAACATCTAGCCGAATTTTTGAAAACCTACCTGAAAATGCACCAGAATATTCGCACAGAAAGCTGGCCATAGCCAGCTTTCTGGTCACTGCGCTGAGAGAAAACATAGGGGGATTGCTGTCCTGCTTGGTCTCATTGTCAAGTTCAGTCCCTGAGCTAACTCGCCATGGGTTGGAAAGGGGCCTCCACGTCAATCCCTAGGGGGGGAGGCTGCTGCAAAAGCGTTGTACCTTCCGTTAGTCCTGGTCTGGGAGAGTCAGTGCACTGGTCACGTCTGCCTTTAGTTTGTCATGTGAAATTCTTGTGACGTTTGAGGCCCATTGGCCAATGAAAGCATTCCCCTCAAGCACGTGCTAGGCTGGGGGGTGGAGGAAGTCAGGGGGAGTGACTTAACCTTGAATTCTCTGCTTAGAACTTGCTGAAGTCTCAAGCGTCCTCCGTCATTCAGGGCCTTTAAGCAGCTAGAGTGTATGGACAAGTCCAGAGTGTCTTTTTGATGGACTTGAATGTTTCTTTTGCTAATCAGGAACCAAGAAGAGAGTCACCTTAAGAGAACCATGGGTAAGAGCTGAGTTTCTTGGCGATATTTACTTTAGTTGAGTCAGTTTAAGGTGTGTGGGCTCCTGGTGTCCGATGTTACGGTTTTCATAAATCCGGCTAGATATATATATATATATTAAATTTAGTTTTAAGCTTACTTATGAACATGTCGGCTAAATGAAGTAACGCAAGACGTAATTTGCATTATTTTGTAAACAAAAAACTTTTAAGTCAC